TCTAGTTGTTTTGGTGGTCACTCCAATATTTCCTGGCATAACAGAAAATATGAATTAAAACTAAAAAATAGCAATCATTAATTCAGTGCCAGTGTGCAAAAGATCCTCACCATTTTGAACTCTCTCTGGATCCTTTTGAGGTCAGTAATATACACCCTGCTTTGGCTAATGATGCCCTTCCCTCATAGGAAGGGGAGCGACAGTTCTTGACTAGAGTGAGATTACAGATGGTGGTTGGCAGTGAAGACAGTGGGACAACTTAATGAGAAGGGGATTCAGAAAGTGAGTTATTGCAAGTCTGCTGTATTGAGAAATGAATAAAAGGGGGAATAAAAGTGAAACATATCCCATAGAGTATGGTTTGTGAAGCAAAGAATGACAAGGCAAGAACTTATGTGAAGATATCCAGTGGAAGAGGTGGCACACAGGAAACCCAGTCTGTTGTTCTGTTTGGTGGTGATACAAATTAAGTAGCCCCTAATCTAATTACTGTTTGTTCTAGCTGTTCATTCTTGCTTGTCTTGCAGTACTGAGAATTTGTACCGTTTGACAGTAAGGAGGGAGAACAAATGGAGTGAAAAAGACTCTGTTTCATAGGATTTTTTTAATTTTTTTTTTTTTTTTTTTGCGGGGGGGAAAAAAGTTTGATGGAGAATCCCAGGATATCACTGGCACGAATCAGAAGTAGGGGATCCAGACTACTGAAGTTGGTACTCAAACCACAGAAATGGTCATGGAACCACAACCTTAAGGGCAGGTGCAGAATGCTTAGTACAAGTTTGCACTGTCTTTGGTTTGCACTTGTTGAATCATGTCTACTTGGATTTCATTTGGTTAGCACCTACCACTATGGAGTCCTGAACCGTGGTGAGCCCTTCAGGTATTTTCCACGAAATTATAATTTTTTTTTTAAACAAAACAAATTCAAAATTACACTCTCTGCTTCCTAAACCTACAAGAAAAGTAATTCTTCCCTGATTTGCAATTTACCAGCAAAAATGAAAGAGCAATGTTTCCAAGGAACTAGAAAGCAATGGAATTTTTCTTATAAATAAAGGGAACTTTTAACTCATTTGTTTCTTTCCCTGTAGAATATGAAGGTCCTGTAGACCAGACTGTCTCTTCACTTGCATCTGTGCATTTCTAAAATAATTTTTATTATGCATAACATCCTTGGCAGTTTAGAGGGGAGAAATTGGCTCACTGGTAGAAACTAAATTTCTCTGTGGAGCTGCAGATTAGACATGGCACTGTTCACTTTTCTTTCACCATTAATAGGTGAGAAGTAAGAACAACTTACTGGCTTATTTAGCATATGCATCTCTGAGCTAAGAGTAGAGTTTCAGTTAGAAAATGCTCATTTGTATGTGTCTGCTTTTAAGTAGAATGGCCCCTTCTTTAAAGAATATAGCCATAATACAGCTGCCCAAGTACAGCCTGCACAGGTTATGTTGCATCCAGCTTGGACCAGGCTAAATGACAGGTATAAATCAGTGCTTTCAGTGTAGTTTGAACTTTGTTTTCTGTGTAACTAACAAAGATTTCGGGGGGGGGGGGATAAAAAAAAATTAAGGGCGGAAATACTTTTCTGACTTAAAGTACCATGCCATCTATTTCTGTTTTCTGTTGCTGGTGTCACCGCGTTTTGGGGCAGTAAGTGGGCCAGTGTAGAGTCTGGATGTGTTTCCCCCCTCCCCAGTCTTTTCAAATAAAATGTCAAGAATTAGAAGGGAGGTACATATTGCTCTCCTCATAGTTTAAATGTCACCTTTCTGTAGGATGAAAGTCACTAGAGACTGCGTTCTGCTTATGAATTGTAAGCAGAGCTCGCCCCTCCTGAGATGCTTTACTGAAGTGAGGCACAGCTGGGTGTAAGAACTGGATGCTGCCTGACATTTAACACTATTGCAGCTCAGCTGCTTTTAGACATATCTGAGTCGTTCCTCATGCTGTGAAAATACACCATGCTGTTGTGTATACTGAGAGTTCCTAAGTTCTTAATACACAGTGGTATTTTGAAATTCAAAGATTTCTTAAACTTTGGGATTTGACATTGTGATAAGCTGATGTTGAAGGACAAGGCTCTTCAAAATTTCTTTAAACAAAAAAAAAAAGGAAAAGAATAAAACCAGTTATTTATAAAACCAATTATTTTTACCCATGTTAAAGAGATTTTTTTTTTTTCTTTCCCATTCCGTAGCACCTTCTCAGTGTGCATCAGCAGGTAGCCTAACAGGCTACCTCTAAAGCCATACTTCCATCAATTGCTGATGCTAGTTCACAAACAAAGATGGACTGTTTTGGTAAGACAAGGCTCCATTGAAGTTACTGCTAATAAGCAAACCAGCTCTGTTCACTTCAGTCCCATTCAAAACACAGGAAAAGGATCAATCTTTGCCAAACTTGAAATGCTGAAACTATTACAGAGGATAAAAATGATTTACTTCAAGTGGGTGTAAAACACATTTTGAAAATAAACACTAAAACCACACTTGACTCTTACAACATATATTAATCATATTCTGTGTGGGCATGAAATATAGAAAGTGTTCAGCTTTGTATCCCTTCAGTTTATTAATGCAGGTTTGTTCTAACTAGCATTTAATATAAGCAGTGCTTCTTAAGTACCAGCTTAGATGCCAGATACAATGTGCTTTCTCACTGTGAAAGCGTTACTCCATTGTAGCTTACTTTACTCTTAGCAAAAGGGCTTGCCTTTTTTAGTATTTCCCTAATGCTTAACACCCGCTCCATGAAATCCTGCAGTAGTTGTAGATGGGATTAATTTGACTATTTGGTTTTAAATTGTTGTACCTACAGAAGCTAGTGCTAATCCTTGCAGTAGTGCAATACCTTTTGTATTTCTGTAGCAAATTGTTTTCCTAGTTTAGTGTTTTTGAGTGCTATAGTGCTGGATTGATCATCTGCTTTTTTAAGCACAGCTCCATGATGTACTGCATGATTCTTCTGAGAAGAGTCACTCTAGTGATGATATAGGCTCAAGTTCAGTTTTTGCATGCTGCTGCTGGTGATTTAGTGTCCTACAGGTACAAAATGTGGACATTGCCCAGCATGTAGTTTGTGGGTTTTGGGGCTTTTTTTTTTTTTTTAAATATCTTTGAGTACATACTCCTCCTGTACTTGGACTGGTCCATGTAAAAGCCACACTGAGCCTAGCATTGTTTGCGTGTGGTAGAGCTCTGCTCACGTTTTAGAGCGGGAAATGAAATTCAGGGAAGTTCCCTCGGAAGAATGGGTGTATTGCTGGGGGAGCTGCCTCTCCTCTGCCCCGAGCTGAGGCTGTGCAGGGCACCGTGGCAGTCATCGCTCACTGAGGTCTTCTCTGCTGTGCTTTGGTGTGGGACAGGCTCCTGCTGTCCTCACCCTGCTTTTTGGTCTCTAACATACACCTAACCTCTTTGCTCTGCTTGGCTTTAGCTACATTGCTGAGAGAGCAAAGGTAGTGCAATAGGGATTAATTGAAATCAATATGACCCTTTGGTTTTATACTATTTTGTTGCAACTCTTCTAATCCTCTGACTCCTGACTAAATTAATCATAATTCAGTTAGAGCCTATACGTCTCCACTGCTGAGGCAGCAGTGACAGGGTTGTGTTGGTTTGATTTTCTTTTCCTCCTTTTTCAGCTTAAATACTGCATTAATGGAATCTCTGACCTGCCTTCTGGTACCACTATGCAGCAGTGAGATCTGCATCCAAATCTGAGGTGTTCCTATCATATTTAGTGTGGTGTTTGGCAGATTCTCATAATGGACCACGTTAAAGACTAAGCAGTCTAGGGAAATCAAACTTGCCTACCTTGAAGCAGTAATTCCTAGAAAGAGATGCTGGTTACACCATTGAACACCTTTTTCTGTGCATGAAGACACTCACTGAGGAAGGAATTGGGCTGGTGGTCAGCTCCACTTATACAGTCAACACTCATTCATTCAAGATTACTTGAGGCAGACACAAACATGCTCAAGCCAGGTCCTTGCAGGCTCTCAAGATCCAGCAGGGTTTATTAACTCAGGCTCAGTGCCAAGCAAATGCAACTCTGCTGCTCCCAGACCAAGTAGGATCTGCTGCTTTGGCATGGAGTCCGAGCTGCTAAAGCTTGCCAAGTGTGAAGGGTGCAGACCTGGGTCCAGTGCTGTTCTCAGACCCAGGAGCTCTGGAAATGCATTGCAGGTATCTGACCGTATGGATCAGCTTGGGACCACTAGGGCTCATTAGATCAACAACAGTTTCAGCCCTCTTAAACTTGAACTTACTTCTGTGTGTGTTTTTGTTTTGGTTGTCTTTTCAGATTGGCGTTTTTTAAGGGTTTTGGGGTAGTTTTTGGAGGTTGTGTTTAAAATCTAACTCTGAGTTCTGGGAAAACTTACTAGCCTGGTCAGCCCCAGGCTCAGCTAACCCTTTCTGTCTATGCAGCGCGGCGTATAAGGAGCTTCTTGGAAGCAGACTGCGGAGACACTGAGCTTGCTGAGCAGGAACCAGCTCAAGGCTAGCACTGAGTCAGAGCTGCTAAACTGATGATCCTAAATTGACTTAATTTCTCTGGACTGTGATTCCCAGCATGTTTTGCGGTGAAACAGTATACAAATGTTTCCACTGCCTGCTTGCTCACAGCCTGTGTGAGCTGTGATAGTGGAGTGCTGACCATTACACACAAAGCATGGAGTGATGGATAGGTACTGCTGGTTAGGACTCGTGTTTTGCTTTCATGCTGTGCATAGACAGGGTACATGCACTGAGACTATACATTTAATAACTGAAGTTGTCATAATGGTAATTAGGTTTTCTGTTTGCATTTGAAAATACTCTCTGGAAAAAATGCAGTGTGCTTGGACTAAGTGAAAAAAAACATATCAAAAGATGGTATGTTTGATAGTCTGTGGATTGTTACAGTACTTGAAATTAAATTTCCTTACAAAGTTCCTAAATGCTTGCTTACCTTTTCCAAGAAAGAGGTCATACAGCTCTTCTGGGTTTTTTCATATGCAGGTGCAGCTGGGACAAGCGGATATAAAATGCCCGATCACAGAATGCAGTGAACACCTGGATGAAACAACTGTCCTCTATAACCTGCCCCACGACGACATCATCAAGTATAAATATTTCCTGGAACTCAGCCGCATTGACTCCAGCACCAAGCCATGCCCTCAGTGCAAGCACTTTACAACCTTCCGGAGGAGAGGCCACATTCCTACCCCTGCCAAATTGGAGAACAAATACAAAGTGAGCATGCTTGCCAGGGCCATGGGTTAGATGGTGCTGCAAAAGTAGGGTTGCATTTGGTGGGCATTAAATGAGCTTTCTTGCATCACTGGGGCTGTGTGCAAGCTGTATTAGGAATATGAATCTGTAGTACATCATTGATTAACTACTTAATTGATTGCTAACAGTTCAAACAGCTGAACTTCAGTCCTTATTTGTTTGGCAGGTGGCATAATTTTGTCCTAACACACAGACTATTTTCTCTCTGACATGCAAACAATGTGATCACAATCAGAAGAGACTGGGGAAGGGAAGTTGTCATTATAACTGATAATTTTAGACACACAACTCCAGCAAAGATAAGTTTTTCCCTGAAACTGAGCAAGGAATTCTGGGCATTTACACTGTTATGCTCTTGGCTTGTTCCTTCCTTAGAACTAGAGCTTTTGGCTGTCACACTTCTTGGTTTTGATTTCTTCAGTCCCTTACCAGAGGTTATACGTTACTGTAGTCTCATCACTCACAATACAGAAAACTTCAGAAACAGGAAAAACTCCACTTTTGCAGCATTTCTTTTAGTAGAAGACTTGCTTATACTGTGATTTTAATCAAAGATAAAAAGCAAGAGATTACAGTTAGAAGCACCTTTGAGCTGCTGAAGGTCCATCTCAGTCCTGGAAGATGAAGGTTCTGTCTGCACCATCCTGCTCTGTGTTAGTTCTCCATCCGGTTATTAGATTTATTGTTGTTAACTTCATGATTGAGCTGGCCTTTCCTGGACAAACCAGTTCTCCTCAGTAGGAGTTTAGATGACTGTTTAGATAGCCCTAATTACACAGCATAAGATTCAGCCCAGTATGGAGATTAAAAGGTAGAAGGTTGTGTATCCAGTGGAGTTAAAACCTTGGTAAAGCAAACGGCGTTATGAGCTACTTACGTATATCCATGCAGTGCATGAATTGCATGCCACAATGTCTGTTGGACTCAACATTTTCAGATTTTTTGGCATCTTACACGGAGGTGGAGAAATTCGAAACTGCAGGTAAAATTCCTTCCGCCCACAGCCATTCTCCTTCATCCATCCGCTTAGCATTCCCTCAGGTGTAGACAGGATGTGCAGTCCAAGGTAGATCAGATGTTGTAATGCTTCTGCAGCAGCCTCAGCCAGAGGCTGTTACTGTCCCACTGATGTGGGTGGTGCAGCTGTTGTATCGTGGGATGCCAGCTCTGAGAATGTTCCCCAAGGCACAAAATGGGTCGTTCTGCCCACCAGTGCTCTTTTAGGAGTTAAAATGCTATAGTTAAAATGTTCCCACCGTTTCCCTAC